GGAGGAGGAGGAGGAGGAGAGGGCTAAGTGGGCTCCGCCCACTTCGCCGAGTTATCTTCTAGTCCCCCTGAGCCACTCGGGGACTGTGTAACCCACTCACTGAGCCAAGTCGGGCCAGATGTAGCCCACCTCAGCATCTCCTTGCCACCCCCCTGTCCACTTAGCCGGAGGAGGAGGAGGAGGAGGAGGAGGAGGAGGAGGAGGAGGAGGAGGAGGAGGAGGAGGGGGAGGAGGAGGGGAGGAGGAAGGAGGAGGAGGAGGCGGAGGAGGAGGAGGAGGAGGAGGAGGAGGAGGATGGAGGAGGAGCAGGAAAGAGGACGAGGAGGAGGAGGAGGGGGAGGAGGAGAGGAGGGGGAGGGGCTTGCAATCCCGCCGTCCACTTCGAAGCCTCCCACGGTCAGCCCCGGTGTGCGCCCCGCGGGGGGAGCGCCCGACGTCCTGGAACTCGGAGACCGTCTGGACAAGCTTCAGGACCGCCCGGTCCGCCTCGGGGCACGGCCGTCCGAGGCGCATGGTCGGGGGGGGGGGCCCTCCAAATCATCCTCCTCCTCTTCCTCCAATTCCTATTCCTATTCCTATTCCTCCTCCTCCTCCTCTTCCTCCTCCTCCTCCTCCTATTCCTATTCCTATTATTCCTCCTCCTCCTCCTCCGAAACCTATTCCTGTTCCTATTCCTCCTCCTCCTCCTTCTCCTCCTCCTCCTGCTCCTAATCCTGCTTCTCCTCCTCCTGCGCCTCCCTCTGAGATCCCGGGCGGCGGCAGGCGAGCGCCGCGCCGCCTGCCGGGTGCGCGCCCGAGGGCCGCGGGGCGCAGAGAGGCCACGGGGCCCCACTTGAAGGGGCCCCAGGACACACAAATAAATACACACTAATCAAAAGATTCCCCATATTTTCGCATTTTTTCTTGGTTTTTTGTCTTCCCCCCCACTTCCCATATTTTCCTATATTTTCCTGGGAGTGGGCGATTAATTGTGTCTGTGTGTTTTTTCCCCTCCTGACCAGTCCCCTGGCGGAGGGCACGCGCCAGCCTGCGGGCGGCGGAGCACGCGCTGGCAGCAGAAGAAACAACGCCACGAGCAGAAGCTGTTGGCGCTCCTTTTTTCGGTCGCGGCCGCGAGACGACGGTCAGGCGGCGAGAGCAAAGTCCGGGACGCGAACTAGGCGAATTAGCAAGAATGCGTGGTATGCACATGCACTGAGCAAAATGCTCCGCATTAAGGCGAACGCACACCTGCTGTTGGCGCTCCGCGCAGCCCAAGAGATCCTCCTCCCCTTCTCCTCCCCTGTTCCCCTGCTGACCCACTAAAATCAGACGTCGCCTGCATACCCTTCCCGCCTGCATGCTTCGAAGAAAGAGAGCGCAACGAACATAAACGTTTGGCGCTGCGCGCGGATGTGTTGGGTCCGCGCTGGCCCCCCTCCTGGGCGCGCGGGGAAGGCCAGGGGGGCCCGGCGCGATTCCAAGAGGTCCGCGCGGAGCGCCAGCAGTTTGTGTTGATGGCGTTGTTGAAGGGGCCCTGGGACACACAAATGAATACACACAAATTATCCCAGTGCGACCCTACCTAGGAGTTGGAGCATTTAGGAAAGCAACATCTTCATCTACACCGACAGCTACATGTACATCTACACCTGCAACTATGTGATGCTATGGTATGCTGCGCTATGCTATGGTGTGCTATGCTATGCTATGCTGAGCTATGCTATGTTATGCTATGCTGTGCTATGCTTGGCTATGCTATGCTATGATATGATGTGCTAATGCTGCGCTGCGCTATGCTGCGCTGCGCTAAGCGAGATTAAGGTACGCTAAGCTATGCTAAGCTAAGCTAAGCTAAGATAGGCAATGCTAAGCTAAACTAAGCTAAGCTAAGCCAAGCTAAGCTAAGCTAAGCTAAACCAAGCTAAGCTAAGCTAAGCTAAGCTGATATAAGCTACGCTAAGCTAAGCTAAGCTAAGCTGAGCTACGATGAGGTAACCAAAGCTAAGCTAAGCCAATATGAGATAGGCTAAGCTAAGCCAAGCTAAGTTCAGCTAAGCTCAGCCAAGATAAGCTGAGCTAAGCTAATTTGAAATAAGCTGAGATAAGCTAAGCTAAATTAAGATATGCTAGGCTACGCTTAGCTATGCTAGGCTAAGCTAAGCTTAGCTGAACTAAGCTAAGCTAAGCTAAGGAAAGCTAAGCTAGGGGAACCCAGGGGGCGCAACTGGGGGAACCGCGGGGCGGGGACTGGGGGAACCGCCGGGGGCGCTTTCCATTGCCCGGCCCTTTAAGCAAAGAGAGTAAGAACCCTTCTAGGCAGAGCCTAGGTAGGGAATCAATTTCTCAGTATGTTTCCATATGTTGTTTTTGTTTGTCTTCCCTCCCACTTCCCATATTTTCCCATATTTTCTGGGGAATCGACGATTCATTATGTCTGTGCGTTTCTGTCCCTCCTGGGTTGTTCTTCTTCGCGGCATGCAGCTGGGCAGAGCATGCGGGCGACGTCTGGCCCGTGGATCAGCCGAGGCGCAGGGGAGGAGAAGGGGAGAGGGGCCTCTGGGCCGCGGGGCCGACGGAGCAACGCGGCAGACGCGTGGATGGGGTGACATCCGAGCCCCAACCCCCACGGAGCATCGACGCTCCTGCATCGGTGGGAGGCAAAAGGGTACTCCAGATTTCGTAATAAAAGGGAGGGGGTCTGGACCCTCCAAGACAAGCCATTTCAGACCCCCCCCGTGGGAGAACCCCCCAAAACGTCGTCCCCAGACCCCCCCAGGCCATCTCCAAGATAGCCTGGAAGAGACCCCCCCCGAAATGAGACCCCCCTCCCTTTATTACGAAGTCTGGAGTAAGGTTCGGACTTCGCCACGTGGCCGACGACTGGCAGGCCCTGCCCCCGCCGCCCCTCGAGCTGCCCGAAGCGTTGCTCGGCGAGGGGTGGGGCTCGGATCTCGCCGCCGGCGCACACGACAGGAGATCCTGCTAGAAGTAGGTCGGGCCTCTCCTCCTACAGGCGGACTTTGGAAAAACAATGACACATAGTTATGCAGCATTCGAAAATGCTGCGCGGAGCGCGCCAGGGGCTGCGCGCTCCCTATTTTTTGAGGGCGAGTCCCTAAGACTGTCATCGCCTCTTGGCGTGCCAATCTTAGGGATAGGGCTACGCTCGAGGCTGGTAAACGTAGCTCTCGCCGCCCGATCCGTGGGGCACCCGAGCTGAGCCAGGCCGGCCACCTCGCCGGCGCGCCCGCCGCAAGCCAGGCGCGCCCTCGTGCGGCACGCCGCCCGCGGAGCGCGCTGGGCGGGCGCAAGGGGCTCCTCGGCCCCCCGTGCCCCTCGGCGCCGGGAGGAGGCCGCAGGCGCAGCCTGCAGGGCTGTTTTTTGAATACATAGGATGTGTCAACAGATCGGGGATCAAAGAGTGGCAGAAGCGTCATCCCCAGGGGATCAAAAAGTGGCATGAGCACAATCCCTAGGGGGTCAAAAAGTCACAGGCGAAGCCTACCTCTAGGGGAACAAGAAGTGGCAGAGGCGTAAAAAAGCTCGGAGGTCCGCGCGGGTTTCTCGGATCCCGCGTGGGTTCCCGGGCCAAGGGATCCCGCGTGGGTTCCCGGGCCACGCTTAGAGTCTAGGGTTCCCACGTGGCCCCCCGGCGGAAGGAGAAGGGCCCCGCACGAGGGACGGCCCGCACGAGCACGGCGCGCTCCGACAGCACGGCGCGGGGGCGGCGGGGAGGAGGCCTCGGCGGTGCAGCAAAGGCCGCCGCCGCAGGAGCGCGGGCCGAGCGCACGAAGCTCTCCCAGAACGGACTGCCTGACCCGACCTCTAGGGGAACAGAACGTGGCATAAGCATAACAACCGATCGGAGGTCCGCGCGGGTTTCTCGGATCGGCGCTGGGGCCCCCCGGCGGCGCCTCCGGCGCCGCCCCTGGCGCGCTCCGCGAGCCAGGAAGGGGGGTCCAGCGCCGATCCGAGAAATCCGCGCGGACCTCCGAGTTTTAACATGTATGTCACTTGTTGTTCCCCTAAGAACACGCCAACCCAACCCGAAGACCCGAATTTCGGGTTGGGGGCTCGACATGGGCTCAATACTTGTTTTCTATGTTCCCGGACCCACCCCCACTGGAAATGGAGGGCAAATCGAGGCCTTCGGGTTGGGTTGGGGTGGCTGCTGCGCCACGGGCGCGGAGTCACGGGCTGCCCCTCGCCTCACACTCGCACGACCGTGTGGCCAAACGGTCAACCGGGGCACATGACAGGAACGCTTGGGCGTTGCTTAAGGGGGGGGGGGGGGGCGATAGACAGGGAGGCGAAGACACGAGCACCCTTCCGTGCTCCTGTTTTGGGCCCCTTTCAGGGGGCCCCTGAGGTGCACTGGCGCTGCACCTTTGTCCTCCCCCCCCCCCCTCCCCGCTTTTTATCGCCCCCGCATGACGCAACACCCGCGGCGCAGCCGTTCCTTCTTCTACTCCAGCGAGCGCCTCCGTCCGCTGGCCACCCTTCTCGCACGCTCTGGCTCGAGAGGGGCGAGCGTGTCCGCCTCCTCGCCCCCACGCTCCGCGCAGGGGAGCCGAGCAGAACCGCCCCTGTCCGCAGGGCCGCGGCCCACGGGCCAGGCCCGCGAGGGCGCGGACACGGTCCGTTCGCCGACCACTGGCGCCGCCACTGTGGCTGATGTCGTCCGTCTCGAGCTGCGCTCCCTCCCCATACTTCGCCGAGCATCGACAACCCTCCACAAGCCGTGCCGACCAGCACCGGGGCCGGAACGGACCCAAGCAGGGGCAACCATGACGAGACCGGCCAGATTCTTGAATGAAGCACTTCGCGCACAACCTTCCCAGGCAAACTCAGTGGAGCGTGCCATTCGGCCGCCAAGATGCCGCTGAGCTACCGAGTCGCTGAACAAGAACGATCTGTGTCTGCCGCGCTCGCTTTTATCGCACGCGCCAGCGGCTGGCGCGTGCGATAAACGCCACTGGGCCTTTAACACGCCAGCCCCAGCCTCGTAGCTGAATAGGGCGCCCCGTGGCTGGAACTCGCCGCAAACAGATGGCATAATCATGATTGCGGCCGCCGTGGGCCGGCAAGACCAAGAGGCCACAAACATTGCTGATAGAACCGTGAGCTCCAATTAACGAGACCACCTTCGCCCCCCCTGCCCCCCCCTTTTCTAGGGAGCCCACAAAGGACGTACGCGCCCAGCCATGTACATGAACACGGCCCCTCGACTCGCGAGACCGGCCGCGTGATACGAACACTTGTGCAATGCGCGCTCTCGAAACCAGCGCGGATTCATGTACATGTACGTCCTTCTTTCGCTCCTGATTTACGGCAAAATTATATTACTGCCCGCCCCCAGACAGGATATGCCACCCCTAGAACCCTTAGCGCAGAACCCCGCCAAGATCACGACAAGATCCCGTCAACACCCCGATCGGATTCCAATAGGGCTCCTGAAGATTCCGAGAAGATCCGTACGGAGCACACCGGAATCCTGAATCCTCCTGAAGATTCCCGCAAAATTCCTGCATCGTTTGAGCGGATCATTGCAGGATTCCTGAATATTCCTGCAAGATGCCTGAGGACTCCTGAAGATTCCTCATAACTCCTGCAAGATTGATGAAGGATGCCGGTCGGATGTCTGAAGATGCCGGGGGGGTCTTGAAGATTCTAGCGGGTTTGCGATGGATTATTGTCGGAGTCCACACACGTATTCTCAACGATGTATACCCGATTCCCTAAGCGTTCTGCAGGATGTATTTGAGATTTCTAAGGGGACTCATGAAAATTCTACAATGATTATTGGATGATTCCTGGAAGATCCTTGCAAGATCCCTGAGGATTCCTGAAAGATTTCCGGAAGAGCCTTCGGATTCTAAGCCGAGCCCCCGCAATTCCTGAGGGATCTCAAACAAATGTTTGCAGGACTCCCCGGAATTGCTGCGGGGCCTGGAAGGTTCTCGAGGATTCGTGATGGATTCCTGCAACAGTCCTTGAGGACTCACGGATGTCTGCCAAATTCCTGAAGCTGACTTCAGGATTCCGGGGAAATCCTTCAGGGTGCGTCAAGTTTCTTGTAGATTCTGGAAGCTGCTTGAAGGACCCCTGGAAAATTCCAAAAAGCATCCTGAGGACTCCTGAGAGATTTCTGAAAGAAACTTCGGGTTCTGAAACGATTCCCGACGGTTTCCTGAGGGATCTCGGAAGGACCCAAGCAGGAGTCCTGAAGATTCCGACAGTTTCCTGAAGGGTTCGGGTCGTAGAACCCAGCGCAACGCCAGTCGAATCCCAATGAGACCCCAAACGATCAGCAACATGAACACGGACATTTCCCAATCATGTTCCGATCGGAGGATATGAAGGGGCCCTGTGACACACAAATAAATACACACAAATAAAAAGATCCCCTAGATTTCCCCATATTTTCTGGGTTTTTGTCTTCCCCCCCCCCCCGCTTCCCACAGTTTCACATCTTTTCTGGGAATCGCCGATTCACTGTGTCTGTGTTATTTTCCCTCCTGATGATAAGAATGTTCGAAAGCAGTCCCCGAGCTCACCAGGACTCCACCGCTGGACGCTCTCAGAGGAGTCCTCCCTGGGCACCCCCCCATGATGGGCAACATGGGCCGCCCTCCGTCCCTGTGGGCGGTGCCAACAATGAAGTCCAAGTCGCATGAACTACCTCGAACAGCGAACTTTCGTGAAGGGGCCCTGGGACACACAAAGAATTACACACGAATGAAGCGAGTCCCCATAGTTTCCCATATTTTCTGGGGTTTTCCCCCACTTCCCAAATTTTCCTTGGAATCGGCGAATAATTGTGTCTGTGTGTTTCTTTCCCTCCTGATTTAGCTCGCGCTAGCTGACTCTAGCCACGATATGTTTCGAGCGAGAGCCACGGCTTGACAAGGACGCGCCCTCCCCTAGTGCCTTACCTATCAGCGAAACTAACTCCTACCACTTCTGCCCAGACCGTCACTTCTCCGGTGGCAAGGAAGCGAAGGGGCACGGGGGCACTTGTCGGAACACGGGTGCCGACTCTCGCCGGCAGTGCAGGGGGGGGGGGGGGCTTTGTCCATGGAAGTGGCGAGCCCTCCAAGACCGCCAGGACAACCAACCGAGTCCACGAGGGGCGTGCACGGAATATGCGTGATTGAGCGGAGAGGTTGCAGATGGAAACTACGTTCTCCACGGAAGTTCACACATCTAGATGGTGAAGTCGTACACGACCGCTCAGATGTTTAACTACTGCCCGACTCCCCGAAAGATGGGGGCAAGCCGATGTCGGAATACTGGTGCTGAACGAACAAGACAAAACAACGGTGCGAGGGGGGGCGATCTTTCCCGTCGTGGTCGGCGCCTCACAGGAACAGAGAACTAGCATGTGTGATCAAGGGGTTGGAATGAAGGGGCCCTGGGACACACAAAGAAATACACACAAATAAAAGGATTCACCATATTTTCCCATATTTTCTGGGTTTTTGTCTTCCCCCCACTTCCCATGTTTTCCCACATTTTCTGGTGAATCGACGATTAATTGTGTCTGTGTGTGTTTTTCCCCTCTTGATAGAAGTCGAAAAAAACATGGGGGGGAGGTCGGGCGCCGTGCTGGAATCGAATCGCGGATGTTCAGATGAATTGGGATCCTTCGTTGCACGATCATGCTTCACATTGCCCCGCGTTGCTTTGCACTGCTGCGCGCTGCTTCGCACTGTATTGTATAGCTCGGACCTGCTCTACGCACGAATATATCATCAAGGAAAGCAATATGCAAGACATCTGGGCCAGCTTCTCGGACGCTTCTTAAATACCACCTGGGCCAAGTCTTGTTGTTGACGCTGGAAAGGCAACGTGCTCAAGCAGCCGGGCCAGCTTTCTGGGGGAGGTTCCTAAATCAGAGTATCGGCTGTAAGTTAAGATGCTTGGCCAGTTAAGTGATGCCTCCCCCCGATTTTTTTGATAGCAGCGCGTCATGTCGAAACGTTGAAAAGGAGTCTCTGAAGGTGAAGAGTCTCTGAAGTCTCAGGATCGGAAAAAGAATCTGGATCGAGGATGGAGGTGCGATCGATGGTTTGCCGACGGCATCCCTCAAAGCTGTTCAATGGTTATCGCGCGTACCCCATGCTCTCGACTGTGACGAGTTCGGAGGGATCCGTGGGATTCCCGAAGGTTTCCCAACAAACACTTGCGGTTGCCCATCGATTCCTGAGGAGTCCTCAAGACTCTTCAGACGATCCCGAGAGGATTCCTACATCATCCTGATGAGTTCCTTTGAAATCCCGAGGATTCCTGATGTTTTCGGGAGGTTTCTGAGGACTTCTGCGAGATGCCTGAAGAGTCCGAATGACTCCTAAAAAGGATTCCCCCTGACTTCTGGAGTCTCCCTGGGATTCCTGACGATTCCTGCGGATCCCGCATGGGCTCCTAACGATTCCGTGAGGATTCCGAAGGGTTCCTGGGGACTCGTGAAGGCTTCCATCCGGATGCTCGAAGGATCCCAAGTGATTCCGAACGATTCCTGAAGGATTCCTGTCGGAATCCTGAAAAATCCCTGTAGGATTCTTGGCGTCGCCCAAGGTTCGCTGACAATTCCTGAACATTCCTGGTGATTCTGGAATGATTACAGAATGTTTCCGAAATGACTTCTGGAGGAACCCCAGGATTACTCCACGGCGACTGAAAGATTCCTGGGGTTCCTGAGGATTCCTGGGGATCCCAAGGAGATTCCTGAAGGATTTCGAACGGATTCTCCAAGATTCCTCCAGATGTTCGACGGTTCGGGATGAAATCGTCAGAAGGATCCCTGGAGAATTCCGACGATTTCTGCAGGATCCCTGACTCCATGTAAGTTCCTGGAACATCTCAGAAGATTCTGAACTATTCCGCAAGATTTCTGAAGATTCGCGCAGGATTCCTGTAGGTATCCAGAAGGATGCCGGAACATCCCGAGCGGCTTCCTGAAGGATTCCTGCAGATTCCTGAAGGCTCCTGGGGAGTCCAGAATGTCCCTGAGGATCCCTGAAGATTCGGGAGGGCTCCAGAGTGATTCCCGACGGAGACCTGAGGATACCCGCCAATTTGTGAAGGAGTCCTGAAGATCCTTGCAGGGCTTCTGAAGGATTCCTGAGGCCCCTCCCCCGAGGAATGTTCCACACAACTGATTGACCGAGGTGCTAACGGTGCCGCTCGGCGGTTTCCCCCTCATCTGTGTCTTGTTCCCGGGGGGGCTGCGGATCACGGGGGGGATCGATAGCTGGAGTTCACGGTGGAGGCGTTCGATGATGCGCGCGGCCGTCTCGAAGCCGAAACATGCGGAGGCCGTCCTGGGCCTCTTCTGGGCCGCACTGGGGGCCCCGCCGGCGCCAGCTGTGGACGCCCTGCAGCGCCTCGGAGCTCTGGGGCAACCCCGGGCTGTCCTGCCACGGGCGGCCTCCCTGGGTGCTCCCAGGGCTCTCCGAAGCCCCTCCTGGGGCCAAAACGACGCGAAGATCGGGACAAAATCGGATCGGGATAGCTCGAAATCTCTGAGAATCGGGGGGTTTGGAGGATGTATTGGGCGCCGCGGCCGCTCCAGAGCGTTCCGGAACGCTCTGAGAGCGCTCCGGAACGCTCTGGAGCGATTTATCCCGATCCTAGCCCTGTTTTAGGGGCCCTCGCGCTGGCCCTCTTGGACCGATCTCGGGGGGCCTCTTGGCGGGCTCCGGCCCGGGCGCCCCAAGCCCACGGCAGCCCTGCTGTCGCACGCGCTGCATCGGAACAGGGACGTGGTCGGGCCTCAGCCTCGCCTCACACAGCTCGCCCAGGTCCCTCGTGGGCCGTCTTGACGCCTCCTGGGGGCCTTCCTGGGCCAACTCGGGCTTCCACTGTCGGGTCGTCGGGTCATCCAGAGGCCCTCCTGGGCAGTCCTGCGGCGGACTTGGGCCATCTTGGAGGCGTCTTGGGACACTCTGGGACACTCTTGGGCGGTCTTTGAAGCTGACTGTGGAACCCTGGGGCCCCCTCAAAGCTCTTGTGGGTAACCTCGAGCCTGCGCGAAGATATCCTGCATCAATAAACATATATATATATATATATATATATATATACATATACACTATCTTTATCAGGGGCCTGTCGTGGCGCCTCTGCGGTCCTCTCTCTTGGGGGCTGGGCCTCCTCGACAGTGTGAGGCCCCCCTGGGAATCTCGGAAGCCGTCTCCGAGGCCGTCCTGCGGCGCCCTCGGCCCGGCCTCGGCGCCTCGGGGTGGCCTGGGCCCCGCTGGCCCGTCTGCCACCAGGCGCCCTCCTCGCACGCCCTGGCCCCAGCACTGGCGCAGAGACTCTACGGGGCAGTTTTTAATCCATAGGATGTTTAAAGATATAGGATTCTAATGCATGATTAATGTATGAATGAAATTCTGCACGAACCCATCGCTGTTTTTCATACCAAATCCATGTGTACATATATATATATATATATATATATATAATGATCCGCACTTTCTTTTTGGTCGCGGGCGGACGCGGATTCGCAGTCGTCGAGCTGAGAGGTCCGGGCCACGGCTGGCACACACACACACACACACACACACACACACACACGATCCGCACGCGGAGCATGTATAAAAAAAACGGCACTGTGGCGTGCTCCCGCCGAGTAGAGCCGGCGGCGAGCGTGCCGACTGCTTCGGCGCTGCTGCGTCCCTCCCCGCTCGCCCCTCGTGCCCCCCCTGTCCCCTCTCCGCTCGCTGCGACCGAGCTGACTACCTACCAGACCCAACCCAACCCGAAGACCCGAATTTGACCCGAATTTCGGGTTGGGGGGGGGTGCGGGTTCCGTGTGTTTTTTCAGTGTTCCCCAACCCCCCCCCCAACCGGAAATGGAGGGCAAATTGAAGCCTTCGGGTTGGGTTGGGGTGGTTTGGTGAGTGGTGACGAGCCGCCCCCTCTCCGGCAGCGACGCGGCGGCGCAGCGGAGCCGCCTCGGCGGCACGCGGGCCCTGCGCCCGCGCACCCCTTGCGCGCCGTGCGCGGCCCCTCTCGCGCCTGCCCCTCTCGGGTGTCCGAGCTTGGCCCCGGAATCCCATGCGGTCCGTTGCCGCCTCTCTGCGCACCCGAAGCTGGCTCCCGGCTCACAGGCTCGCTCGGCACGCGCCTGGCTCTTTCGGCTCTCCACGGTGCGACGCCACTCGTCGGTCGGCCAAGAGAGGGAACCCCGCCGTCCGTGCGCCTCTTGGAGGCGCCCTGGAGGCCAGGCGGGAGCATGCCTCGGGCGCCGTCCGCCGCCCTGGGGCCGCCGAGTACCTCTCGGAAGCCATTCGAGAATGCAGTGCGCACGCGGCCGCAGGAAACCCTCGCAGGAAACACGCCGCCCCGAAAACCCCCGCACGAGACGCCCGCGACGGGGGAACCCCGCCCCGACCACTCTGAACGCAGCAACTTCTTCGGCGGCCTCGGAAGTCAGCGCGCAGCCCGTGGAGCGAAGAAACCCGGGAAAACATCGGATTTCTTGATGCGCGCCCCCGCGGTAGTGTTGAACCATACTGTATTGTGATGAGAAGTGAACCGTGTTGACGGTGTTGCCCTCCCCGGAGCCCTCTGCGGATCGGCCCGGCGGCGTCGTGGAGCCACACTTGCGCCTTTGGGGTGCCTGTTCGGCATCTCTGCAGGCGGATGCGGTTCACTCGAGCTAGAAGTCGTGTTTTCCTTGAGTTCAAGGAAGTTAACTTGCACAGAATGTTTGACCCCCCGATCCGCCGCCTTATGAAACAATGCTGGGCCGAGACGGCTTGCAACAAAGATTCGACTTGCATAACATCCAGAGTTCCTTTAGGGCATCGCCAGGCCCCCCTGTCCACTCCATGCCAGTGAACTCGTTAAAGCCTAACGAAAAATGGCCACCAGATCTGGGGCCTCTTTGGCCTCTCTGTGGGACATGCGGGCCATTCGCGCCGTCTCGTCGGCTTCTCTCTTGAAGGATTCTGAAGGACTACGTGGGCCTCCCGGGATCCGACGAGGGCGAGGTCGCTGCCACTAATGTATATGGTGCGTGAAGTGCGAGCGATCTTGTAGTACATATGACGTTGGGTTCCATCTTTGCCTCGTGCATCTCGCTGAGCAGCGCCACAACCGACTGCCACTGCCCCCCCCCCTTCTTGCACGCGCTGACCCCGTCGCTGTAGCTGACTAGTGTGAGCCCGTGGATTAAATCCACCGTGTGCTGAACCTGGGAGTCACACACCGTGGGTAAAACAGCTCGTCGAAGTTAAACAGCTCGGGTGTCTCTGGGACCGTGTCGGGGGCATGTAGGGTCCTCCTGCGAGCCTCTCAGGAGCATCTTGAAAGCCTCTCGCGGTATTTTGGGCGCCTCTGGGGCCGTTCCCGGGCTGTCCCCCAGAGCCTCTTCTGGGGAACAGCCCTGGAAGCTTATTTAGAATCGCCTTGGGGCCTTCGTGGGGCTCTGTGGGCTATGAAGGGCTGTGTGGGGACTCTCTTCGAGCTTACTTGGCGCTCCTTTAGGCTGTCGACGGCCTCGATGTCGAAGGCCTCTTCTGGGAGTCTCTTGGGCAGTGTTGGCGCGATGTAGGATAAGAGGCGCTGGTGGCCGTCTGGAGCCGTCCTTCGGGCGAACTGGGGAGAACCTGAAAATCCGGAAAAACAATACAGAAAACCGGCGACTTTGGCCTCGTGGGGGCAGGCTGGCAACGGAGTCCTCTTTGGCCGTCCTGGGAGGCCTCCTGGCGAGTCTTCGAGCCCTTCGGGTTCTCTGATGCCTTCCGGGCGCTCTCTGGAGCGTCTCTGAGCCGTCGTTGAACGTCTCGGAGCCTTCTGGCGGCCGTCCAGGGCGAACCAGGACCGCTTCAGGAGCGCTGGGAGAGCCCCGGGTCGAACTACGGCAGCGCAATCTCTGACGCGCTGCCACCGGCATGGTAGTATAGCTAATGTCGAGCTCCAACTTCTCATCCCACGTCTCGCTGGACAGCGACAAGGCTCGCCGCCGCTGCTTCCTCTTTTTGCACAAGCTGATCCCAGCGTTGTAGAATCTTCGCATCCCGCGTCGTCGCAGTGAGCAACCGAATCGCTTGTTGCACCTGCCCGCTTCTATCGCAAGCCCTGGTCCCAGTGCTGTAGCTGATGGCGTCGGGCATCAACTTCACCTCCCACATCTCGCTGAATAGCAACATAACCCATTGCCACTGCATGACCTTCTTGCACGCGCTGATGGCAGCGTTGTAGCTTACCAAGGCCGCCCCGTGAATTGTAACGTCCGCGAGATCGCGCTCGCATGCGAAGTGAGGACTGCAGCCCACAAGGGGCACTGCTCACCTCCCAAGGTTATGTTGCTCCCAGCTCCCAGACAAGTGTCGAAACAGTGTCGAACGAGTGTCGCCTCCCAGGGCCCGACACGTGAAAATCCTTAAGCTTCGGCGCTTCCTGGGTGCTCGAAATTCTTTCTAGTGGCCAAAGATAAAGTAGATTGGAACATCCTAATCCCAGGGAGCCATGTGAGTCGCAAACGGAGCGAATCATAGCGCAACGCAGTATCTATCAGAGACGACGCGCCTGCTCACGACAAGGCCAGCGCGGAGGGCGCGTGCTGGGACGCTGTCGGCACGCTCCGACCAGCGGCGGAGTTCGAGCGGGCCCGCCTGGGCGTGCAGCCGATCGGACCTTCGACCGCCATGCCAACAGGTAGCGGACGCCCTGGAGCACCTCAGAGCTCTTGCCGGTGAGACCGATGTAAGACTTGGGTACGGGGGACTCGGGTTGGCCTGACGGGGCCATAATCATAGAGAAGGACGAGACCAATCAGAGATTTGACGCGAGCTCCCGCTGCAAGCATCCCACGAAAACTGGACCGTCAAAATCCAGGACGCGCTCGTCAAAAACGTCGGGGATCTTCTGACCCGAGTCAATCCAGACCCGGGTCAGCAGGAAACCAAAAAACTGCAATGCAGGAAAAGAAAACTGCAATGCAGGTCTTCGCAAACCTGGGTGAGCCAATATGCGCGGCCGCCTCGCGGCCACGAGCGGCTCGCCAACCCCGGTCAGCCAGAGGGGGTCTTCGCAGGATCCTGCAGGATCTGGTGCCCTGGCTGACCCCCGTTTGCATTGACCCCCGTCTCTTAGGCCCCGAAAACGTCGGCTAACCCGAGCTCCGGCTTCATCGACTCTCACGTTTCCCCGATCCTGGGCCACCCGGGGCGGCCCTGCACGGTCCTGGGAGGGCTCCGCCGAGGGCAGCTGTGGGGTCGCCACGGGGCCGTCTCCGGGGTTGTTCTGGGGCTGCCCTGGATGCCTGCCTCTGGGGCTCTCCGAGTCCCTCCTGGGGCCACCTCGTCAAGCCTCCTGCACCACTCCTTTTGGGGCCTCTTGGCGGGCTCCGGCCTGAACGTCCTGGTCCCGCAGCGCCCTGTTCCCGCCCGCACTGCATCGGAACAGGGGTGTGGTCGGGCTCTAGGGTCGCCTCACACATCTCGCTCAGGTCCCTCTAGGGAAATTTCGACGCCATCTTGGGGCCGAGCCATTTCAAACTTACCCTGGGCCGTCGTCAGGCCCTCCGTGGGGGCCCCTTTGGCATTCTTGGGGGCCAACTTGGCCCATCGTGGAGGCTCATTGGAAGCTTTCTATGGTAATCTAACGGCCTTCTCGGAGCTCCCTTGGGGAACTCCGAAGCCGTGCGAAACCCTCCTGGGCCAAAATTCACCAGCAAAAGCACCAGCAACGTTCATTGGGGCCTGTGATGCACCAACAGAATTCATTGGGGCCTCATCGACCCGGTTGGGGCCGCTGGGATCTCTGACGGCGTCTCTGGGGCCGTCCTGGGACATCCAACGCCGTCCTGGGAGTCTCCAGCGGTGATCTGGCGCCGCTGGCCCGTTTGCCAGGCTGACACGATCTGCAATTCCCACACAAACTGGTTCTGGAATGCAAGAAAAAACTAGGGCTGGCCGGAGGACTTATGCCCACGAAATCTTACCCCCATGCAGCGGCAATGACCGTTTGCCTGGTTGTCTACTCGCGTGCTGTCCTGCCTGCGTGGTTGCTAGCCTGGTGGCCTGTCAATGTCTAGCCAGCCAACCCGCTTCCGTTGATTTGCAATTCAGTTGTGCATGCACGTGGTTTGCGGGCAATTCGGGCCGATATTTGGTGCCCCTTTGGCATCCCTTTGGGGCCCCTCTTGGCGACTCTGGGGGGCCGCCAAGGATCGGTCGAGGGCGAAATCGTTGCCAATGTTTACATACTTCGAAAGCGTGTCGGCCGCTCTTGTCGTATCCTGGTGCCGATGGTGTTGGGTTCTAGCTTCACCAACCGCATCTCGCTCAGCAGCGCCAGAACTGGCTGCCACTGCTCGCCCTTCTCGCACGCGCTGATCCCAGCATTGTAGCTGACTGGTATTGTAGTATAGAGTAGGGCTGACCCGTGGACTCAGTCTGCGACATCTGGCCGAGAGTATTCTCGGGGAAGCGGCGGGAATGCTGCCGACAGGCTATCCACATGGCGGTCAGCCCCTGAAGGACCTCTTGGGGCCGTCTTAGGCTCTCGTCGGTGCGGTTGGGCCGTCTCGGAACCGTCTTGGGCCGTCTTGGGCGCCTCTTGGGCCGTCTGGGGACCGCTGGGACCGTCTTGGGCGGCTCTTGGGGCTGTCTTGGGTGCCTTCTGGACCGTCTTGGGGCCGTCGTGGACCGTCTTAGGCGCCTATGGGGCCGTCCTCGGGCCGTTTTGGGCCGTCTGGGGCCGTCTTTGGGGCTGTCTTGGGTGCCTCTTGGGCCGTCTTGGGCGACTCTTGGGCCGTCCTGGGCCCGTCTTGGGGCCCTGATGGGGCATCTTGGGCCAATCTTAGAGGGCTCTGTGGCCGTCGTGGACGCGTCGGAGACGAACAGCACGAGAATGGCAAAAAAGTGCTTCCCTCAGGGAATGGGACGAATTCTGCGTCTCGGGGCTGTCCAGGGGAATCCTCGAGGTCCCTCTTCGGACCGGAAGCTCCTGGCCTGCCCTGGATGCCCTTGGGGCTGTCGGAACGGCCTCTTGAGCGGCTCGGAGCCGCCTTGGGGTCGTCGGGTCTTTCAGCCGTCGAGGCGGCCTCTGGATCGTCTCGGAGCCGTCGTGAGGCCGTCGGGGCGCCCTCTTCAGCGGCTCGGAAGCGCCGGAGAGCACTCGGTGCAGAGACCCTTCTCGCACGCACTGCTTCCAGTGTTGCAGTATAGACTAGGGCGAAGCCGTGAACTTTGCCTAAGTCATCTAGCGCGTTCAGTGTGTGCGCCCCTGTCATTCGCTCGTTCGCGACGTCGGGACGTCAGGCGAGCATGGGCATGTGGCACGTGGGCTGCGCGCAAGGGTGCGCAGGGAGAAGGATAAAGGCTTCGTGGAAGGCGGGGTGCTCCGCTCCTGGCCCCCAGTGGGCTAGTAGAACGCATGCGATGGCGACTGAGAAGCACCCTGCCTTTTAATCAGCCTTTCCCCGCCCTCCTGGCCCCCCTCTGCGCGGCGCGGAGGAGGGGCGACCACCCATGAACGCACAGCGGCCCGCGGGCCGAAGGCGGTGCAAAGACCGTCCCAGAGGCGCCCAGGACAGCCCCAAGTGGCCCTCAAGACCCCATGCGGGGCCCGAGGATACCTCCGAGCGGCCCCCCGCGAGAGCCCAAGAGGTTCTTCAAACTGCTCCCAGCAAACTGAGGCGGCCGACGGTCTTCAACACCCCGGGGGCCCTGCACGCTTCTGTTCGGGCGGGCGCTGTCGTAAGACCCGCGAGTCCCCAACGAAGGTCGAGAGGGTGATGGCTCCAAGACAGGACTAGGCCAACTGGACAGAGCCCTGGCGGTCTTTGCTCTCTGACCGCGCGAGATACCCACGGCCAGAAGGGAAGGACATTTTTTGTTCAGAGTGCCGTGCACGAGGCTCTGCAGATGGACAGGAGAGAATCGGCCAATGGGCCCCCCGACGCCAGGAAGATAGGCACGACTGTGGCGATTGGTTCCAGGCCTCTCGCACCCCAGGACACAAAGAGTTGAGCTGGTGAAGGGGCCCTGGGACACACAAATAAATACACACAAATAAAAAGAATCCCCATATTTTCCTACATTTTCTGGGTTTCTGTCTTCCCCCCACTCCCCATATTTTGCCATATTTGTCCAGGGAGGGGACGATGAATTGTGTCTGTGTTTCTTATCCTCCTGACATTGGGCCCCCCGATGCCAGGAAGATAGGCACGACTGTCGCGATTGGTTCCAGGCCTCTTGCACCCCAGAGCACAAAGAGTTGAGCTGGTGAAGGGACCCTGGGACACACAAATAAATACACACAAATACATAGAATCCCCATACTTTCCTATATTTTCTGGGTTTCTGTCTTCCCCCCCACTCCCCATATTTTCCCATATTTTCCTGGGAGTGGGCGATTCATTGTGTCTGTGTGTTTCTTTCCCTCCTGAGCTGGGGCGAGTGCGCCGCGTCCAGGCGCGGCGAGGGAGGCTCCTCGAACTGGAGAGGGGGGGGGGGAGCGACGGCCGAGGAGAGACGGAGGCAAGGCAGGGGCGAGGAAGAGCCGAGGAGCAGCGGGGAGGCAGGCGCCAGCAAGCGAGAGAGGCAGAGAGAGAGGTAGAGAGAGAGAGAGAGAGAGAGACGCGAGGGGCCAGGTGAGAGGTGGGAGGAGCGGGGAGGAGCGAGAAGAGACGAGCCAGGCGCGAGGGGAGAGGGGCGAGGAGCGAGGAGAGGACGGCGAGGAGCGAGGAGCGTGGAGCGAGGAACGTTGAGCGAGAATGGAGGCAACAAAAAGAACAGCACACAAATACATCCCCAAGACGAACATGTTATCGTCTTGGGCCCGCAAAGACGGTTTGAAGTCTTGAGCAAACGCGTATGGGATAAGCGCCGTCGGATCCCATGAAGTTCGCACGGATCCAAATGTGGCTTTGGTGTTTGTTTCGGCGGATCCGATTTCCTTCCGCCCGGATCCGATTTCGGATTTGCTGGATCCGTGCTCGGTCCAATGTTTTACGGCGGATCCGATTTTAACCCCGCTTAAAACTTACACTATCAAATTAAAACGGAAAGCCAGAGGACATCGGATCCGCGGACCCCGGAGCCCGCCCGCGTTAAGATTCAGGGCCCTTATGGCCAAACAAAACCCTCAGCGATGCGTGTGATGATGATGATGATGATGATGGGGAGGCTGCTGAATATGATGAGGATGATAAGGTGCCCATGATGATGAGGAGGGGGATGAGCATGAGGATCAGGGCGATATGAGGACGGGGATGGGATTCTGATGCGACGACGGCAGCCCCTCCACGTTCGTGGAGGAGCGTTGTGTTTTCTTTCGCATTTTGGCTGGACCTCGCACAGTGCACCCTCCTATACACAAGGGCCAGCTCTCCGGCGCGCCGCTCGGTCATTAGCTTCCAACTCATCCTCGCCATTTGCACCTCAAGAGGAGAATCTCTCGTCCTGCGCAAGCATTTCGATAGCCAAGGCGAGCGCATGGCCGAACATCCGGTCTTACCCCCTCGTGTCGCTCATGGGGCTCTCGTGGGTGGCCGCCGCGCCCCCACAACTATCTATCGGGCGCGGCCAAGAGGGGGGTTGTCCAAGAGGGGGGGGTGCAAATCATGACCGGCGGCATGTGCGCGGCCGAGCGGGGGGGCCAGGGACGTAAAGAAACAAGAAGAGGCGCCATGAAATCTGGGGAAATGTCATGGCCCACGCCATGATATCCACCCCCCCCTAGTCATCACCCCCCTCTTTTCCGCCCCACAACTCTCTAAGGATGTTTCCCTCGGAAGGAGTAGGAGGAGGAGGAGGAGGAGGAGGAGGAGGAGGAGGAGGAGGGGGAGGAGGGGGAGGGGGGGAGGAGGAGGGGGAGGAGGAGGAGGAGGAGGAGGAGGAGGAGAGGAGGAGGAGGAGGAGGAGGAGGAGGAGGAGGATGCGGTTTTGGCTGTGGCGTGGGGCCTCTTTGGCCATCCTGGGGCCGGATCTCGGCCTCGCCGGGGCCTCCTGGGGCGTCTATGGGGAGCCTCTCGGAGGCCTGCCGGCGGTCTCGGGGTGTCAGCCTGCGGCGGAGGGCGCACAGTGTCAGCTCGAGATGGGCCGCCTTGGGGTAAAACAGGGCCAGGATCGGGATAAATCGCTCCAGGGCGTTCCGGAGCGCTCTCAGAGGGTTCCGGAACGCTCTGGAGCGGCCGCGGCGCCCAATACATCCTCCAAACCCGCCGATTCTCAGAGATTTCGAGTTATCCCGATCCGATTTTGTCCCGATCTTCGTGTCGTTTGATGGGGACCTCTTGGGCCGTCTTCGGGCCCTCTTGGGCTGTCTGGGGCCCTTCTTGGGAGCCTGTCGGGTTGCCTTGGGGCGAGACTGGAGGCCTCTTGGGCCGTCTTGGAACATCGGGAACCTGAAAAGGCCAGAAAACCCAAACCGCTCAGATACCGAAAGGGGAATCCATGATTTGAGATCCGCAGGGCTCTCTTTGGGGGCCTCTTGGAACCCTCTTTGGCAGTCTTGAACTTTGTGGGCCCCGGAAACGGCAGGGCCGTTTTTTCATCGCTTCCAAAAAAAAATCCCTTGAAAATGGAAACGGCAAAAAAACGGCGACGGGAAACGGCAAAAAAACGGCTCCGGGATTGGAACCGGAGCCGGATCCGGTCAAAAAAACGGCGACGGAACCGCTAAAAAAACGGCGTCGGAACCGGCAAAAAACGGCAAAACGGAACCGGTAACAGAAACGGCCCTGTCGTTTCCAGGGCCCACGAAGGTCTTGAACCGCCTTGGCAAAATTTTGGGCCGTCTGGAAGCCATCTCAGGCAGCCTTGGAGGTACCTTGGGCGACCCTGGAGGCCTCTAGGGCGGCTCGGAGTCTCGTCGGAACCGGCGCGGAGCTCGGAGGACCCGCCGAGGACGTGTTCGGCAGGCACGGGCCCCAGCATTGTTGCAGAGATGACGTCGTCGGGCTCCGCCTTTGCCTCCCGCATCTCGTTGAGCAGCGCCACAGCTGGCTGCCACTGCTCGCCCTTCTCGCACGCGCTGATCCCAGCGTTGTAGCTGACTGGTGTGCACCTGTGGAAGCTCCACGGCTGGCAGGTCGAGGTGTCGGACCCAAGCGCGCACATGTCGCCGACGCTGGGACCTCGGGCAAGAGTACTCATGGCTGGGAGGTCGAAGCGACCAGAACTCGGGTCGGTCGAAAGGGGGGGATAGCAAAGGGGGGGTTTGAGAATCAGCTCACGTAGCTGATTTTCCCGGCGCCTCCCGGCGCCAGAGGCGCCCATGTCTCGAGGATCGGGCCCCTCGGTGAGGCCGAAACCAGCTGCATGCAGCAAATTTCGTAACCCCCCCTTTCCCAATCCCCCCCTTTCGCCCGGCCCGAAGAACCGTCAGAGGAGCGGTCAGGCCCCAGAAGCAGCAGAGAGTGCGGGTCCCCGACCTGGCCGTGCGGGGGCCCCCGAATAGCTTGGGACCCCTGGCGGCCGAAGGAGTGGCCAAGAGGGGCTCCGTACGGCCCTCTAGGGAGCACCTCACGGAAGCTACAGCAGGTGGTTCGTTGTAGCATCCGTCGGGGGTCGTCGTCAGCCTCTTTGGAGACGGTGAGGAAGCCCAAAATGGCCGTCCGTGCCCGCCGACGTCCCCAAAGAGATCCCCGACGGCCGGAGGAGGCGGAAGCTCCCGAGAGAGGACGGAGGGGGCCCCCGACAGATACAACTACAAGGGGGTGCGTTGTACCATCCGTCGGGGCTCGCTCTGGGGCCGTCTTTTTGTCATGGCGAGAGTGTGTGAATCATGGGTAAGTATCAAGTTGTTGCTTGATTTCTAGTTTCGTGGGACCGTCATTGGAATCCTCGTGGGCCCTCTTGGGCCGCACTGGAAGCCCATTGGGCTGATGGGGGTCTGGTCAGGTGAACGACGCCGGAAACATAATTTTATGTAATGTGGCGCCTGTGTGCGTCAATCTGCGTCAACTGGCGTGGTGAAGGGCATGGCGAGGAAGGCGAAGATGCGGAAGGAAACGACATTGGGGCCGACCCTCGATATTGGATCCTCCTCGCCCCCCCCTGTCTCTCCATTTCCTCCTCCCCCATCGCCTCCTCTCCGTCCTTGTCGCCCTCACCCTCCGCGCCTGTGACAAATCATTCCCTCCTTTTCGTCCGCATACTCATCGTCGCCCCCCTCGCGCCTGATATCCCCTCCTCCTCCTCCTCCTCCCCCCTATCCCTGTCGCCCATTGACCCCTCCTCCTCATCCGCCGTATCCTCCTCCTGCCCCTCTTGCCCCGCAGGCTGCGCCCACCCATAGGCTGCGCCGCCATAGTGTCAGCTTGTGATTAACAAATCCGTGGGGGGCGCGTGCATGAAAACAAATAATTTCCCTGCTCGGGCAAATCGCGGGGTGGCGCCCGCCAAATTGAAAATCAACGGCGGCGGCGCCGGTGATTAGCGCCGACGTCCAGCCGCCAGCGAGAAGGCGACACACAGCACAGACTGGGGGAGGGGAGGGAGGCGGGAGGCAAAGGCGGCAAAAGCAGGGACCGTGAGCCAGGGCGACACCTGTTCGAAATGACGAAAGAACTTTTGTCGGCGCGCGCCCCCGCACTCTCCGTGCTCTCTCCTGTCGAACCGATGCCCTTCCGCAGCCCTGGTCGCCGCCAGGGGGGTGCCAGTTGCTTCGCGGGCCAGAGAGCAAGGCGGGCTGCACGGCTGGATGAATGAGGGGCGTGGTCAAGCGGGAAGTTGCCCAGCAGCTCAAGTTGCTGATTTTCCGAGCGCCCCCTGGCGCCGAAACTTGCCATGCATCGAGGACTTGCCCCTCGGCGGGGCGACCGAAACCAGCTGCGCGCAGCAGGTTTCGCACCCCCCCTTTCCTTGCCCAGCCTTTCGTCCGACCCGAGCAAGGTGGGAGATCCTTGGCAACTGTCGGAAACTGCTGGGAGGTTTTACAGCATCTCGGAACGGTCCGGACAGCTTGTGTGTTTTTCCCTAACCATCCTGTGGGGTTCGGTCCTCGTTTTGAAGTGGCAGCGCCCTGCGTTCCTATACCTCCTCCTCTCCTCCTCCCCCTCCTCCCTCCGCTCATCCCTGCCTCTGCCCTCGGTACAAGTCAACCATGTCGGCAAACCCCTCACATGCTTCGTGGCCCCACAGGATGCTCCACCTAAGGTCCCAGCGGCGGTGTTCGCAAGCGTCCCCGCCCCCGATTCGCACACCCCTCGCACGTTTCGCGGCCCCGTCCGGAGCTCTACCGAATGCCGCAGTGGCGGTGTCCGCATGCGTCCCCGCACCTGATTCGGGACACCCCTCACGCGTTTCGTGGCCGTCTAGGGAGATCCACCGAAGGCCCCAATTGCAGTGCTCGCATGCGCCCCCACACCCAATTCGGGACATCCCTCACACGTTTCGTGGCCCCGCAAGGAGCTCCACCGAAGGCCCCAATGGCGGTGTTCGCATGCTTCCCTCCAGACATGTTGGTACACCCCTCGCACTCTTCGTGTCGCTGTCCGGAGCTCCACCTAAGGCCCCAGTGGCAATGTTCGCATGCTTCCCCGCTACACGTGTCGGCACACCCCGCATACGTTCCGTGGCACTTCCAGAAGCTCCACCGAAGGCCTCTGGAGGCGACGTTCCCATGCGTTTCCCCCGCCCAGTACACCGTTTCGTTGCCCCTAGGGAGCTACACCGAAAGCCCCAGAGGCGACGTTCGCATGCGTTTCCCAAACCCAGTGCAACCGTCCATGGCCCCATAGGTGGCTCCACCGAAGGCCTCAGAAGCGACGTTCGCATGCGTTCCCCCGCCCGAGACCGCGTTTCGTAGCCCATAAGGAACTCCACAGAAGGCCTCAGAGGCGACGTTCGCACGCGCTTCCCCCGCCCAGTATAACATGTCGAGGTCCCATACAGAGCTCCACCGAAGGCCCCAAGGGCGACGCCCGCATGCGTTTCCCCTACCCAGTACAGCGCTTCGTGGCCCCATAGGTGGCTCCATTGAAGACCCCAGAGGTGGCGCCAGCATGCGCTTCCCCCATCCACCAGCCAATATAATTGTTCGTGCCCCCGCAGGGCGCAGGGAGCTCCAACGAAGGCCCTGGAGGCGACATTCGCATGCGTTTCCCCAGCCCACTACAGCCTTTCATGGTCCGATATAGGAGGTTCCACCAAATGCCTCAGAGGCGACGTTCGCATGCGCTTCGCCGCCCAATACCGCGTTCGGTGGCCCATCCGAAGCTCCACCGAAGGCCCCAAAGGCGACGTTCGCATACATCTCCCCCACCAAGTGCAGCGCTTCGTGGCCCCATAGGGAGCTCTACAAACGACTCCTTTGGCCGCGGCCGCATGCATCTCCCCCACCGGATACACCATTTCGTGGCCCCATAGGGGGTTCCACCGAAGGCCCCAGATGCGACGTTCGCATGCATCTCCCCCACCAAGTACAGCGCTTCTTGGCCCCATAGGGAGCTCCACCGAAGACTCCATTGGCCGCGGCCGCATCGAATGCACCGCTTCGTGGCCCGATAGGGGACTCCACCGAAGACCCCAGTGGCCGTGGCCACACGCGTCTCCTCCGCGAATTACGGCACACGCCTGACACGCTTCGTGGCCTCATGAGGAGCTCCACAAAAGCGGTACCCACGACGGGGTATTCATAACTGCATATGATTGGGTCCGTCGCCTGGATAATGTTGGTTGTTGTGGTGCCCTTTGATGCCGTCTCTGGGGCGCCTGGGGCCATGTTAGGGGGCCCGGGTCTTCGAGCCTGCTTTGGGCCCTCTTGAGCAGCTCCTGCGGCCCTCCTGGGGCCACGGGCCACCTGAGGCCCTGCTAGGATGTCCAGGGCATGTCTTGGGCCGTCTTCGGGGCCGTTCTGGGCCCGTCAGGGGGAGGATGCGGCAGACCTCGAGACACGTACAATGTTTGCTTGATTTGTTTGGCATCGTGAGGCCGCCGTCGGGGTCCTCGCGGGCCGTCTGTGGCGCCTCCTGGTTGGTCTTTGGGCCCCCTTGGGCCGCCATGGGGCTCGCTTCGGATCCTCTTGGGCCGTCCTGCAGCCCTCTTGAGAGCATCATCCTCTCCTGGGGCCATATGATGATGGCTTATGACGTTCGGCTCCAGCTTTTCCTCCGACATCTCGCTGAGCAGCACCAGAGCATGCTGCCACTGCCCGCCCTTCTCGCACGCGCTGATCCCAGCACTATAGCTGACTAAGGCTGACCCGTGGACTCCGTCCACGACATCTTTCTGGAATGGTTCTCGGAGGAACGGCGCAGATTGTACCGAAAATCTACAAACACGACGGCGGCTCGGGCGGCGGCAGCGAGACCGCGCCTTCGTGTCCGAGCTCTTGCAGCGCTCCAGCAGCTTGGCCTAGCGCACTGCTCGTTCAGCCCATCTGAGGCGTCTCAGGAGCGCCCGGGGAAGGGCTCGGGAGGCCATCGGGGAAAGCCACCGAAAGCGACGGGGAGGCTCGCAAGGATCTACAGGGAGGGCCCAAGAGAGCTTCAAGAAAATTTGTCGGTTAAATCTTTAGAGAAACCGCTGTTGGGTCGGCCATCACCTCTGGGCACGCCTTCATGGTGCGATCCAGTCGCATCACCGCCAACGGGAGGGTTTGTTCGCCATGTCCCATTCTGTTCGCCCAGAGGGGCTGTGGAGGCCTTCGGGCGAACAGAACGGGACAGGGCAAGGAATGGGGAAGACTTCTCCGAATCTCCTGGGCCCCCCAGGTGCTCGTCCGAAGAATGCGGAGAGGTCCCTGGGTCATATTAATTGGCTGCTGTCCCAGGGGTCTGGTCTGGTTGGCCCGAAGAGTTTGCCAAGGCCCCTGGGGGAACAGAATGGCACAGCATATCGGGCAAAGGGGGGCGGTAGCTGGCCTGTCAGACCCGGCGTTCGTCTTCTGCCCAAGCGGCGCGGTGCCCACCGGGCCCCAGGGTTGGCGGTCCGCTGGGTTTCCTCTTGTTCGCCCACAGGGTTGGAGGAGGACTCCAGGCGAACAGAATGGGGCAGGATAATGAATGTGGGAGACTTGTCGCAAGCTCCCAGCCCCCCCAAGTGTTCGCCCGAAGGGTGTGG